CCGTTAAAAGGTTCCAAAAGTACACTGGCAGGCAGCTTTAGCCTCATAGGTATACTGATGCATGGAAGTTCGGCTTTCAAAGAAGATTGTTGCTTTTCCGAAAGGCCAGCCAAAAGCAAAACTAGTGTTCAGCTCTTGTTTAAGAGTCAGCATACACCCCAAACTGCAAGAGTAACACTCCAACCTCCTTCCCTCTCAGCATCAAGCCACCAGGGCTTTGAAAAATATTTTGTTGTTGTTATAACTACAGGGATTTTTAGAAAAAAAATAAGACATTTCTTCTGAAACACAGCCATTTTGTAGACTGTCATTTAAACGTCACCCCCTCTGACGGGGTCACCTGGTGACTCCAGTGTCTCAGATTCATTTCTTTCCTCTTCGGATTTCATAAAGTGAACTTTTGAAAAGCACATTGTATCTCAGGAAAGGTCCACACCTACCTGTGTTGTCCTTAATTCCTCACCTGTGTCTGCAGACGTCCTTCCAGTCCACGCATCCGCGCAGTTGAGACTGTCTTCAGTGGCTCACCAGTGGCCTACTGGCTCCACAGTGTTCAGGAACAGTCGTGTGACTCTGGGCTCCTGACTATAGAACTAGCTAGCAGATGAGACTGAGGCCCGTTACAGCTGTGGCTTGAGCAGGGAGGACAAGGCCAAGTGGACCCCGCCCCTCACCATGTTCATTTCTGCTAGTAACACTCTTGGTCTGTCCTTTTGACTTTCATCAAGCAAGATCCTTCAGTCCATATTGTGAATTGGGATTTCTTGTCAAAAATTTCCACCTTGGACTAGTAGAACCAAGAAAGGAACTGGGTTAGCTCTGAATCTTCAGGCAGGTCGGACTAGATCCCAGTGCTCCTCCTATGATCCTGTCAGGGCCTGGTTGCTCCCTCCATTTCCATTGCTTTCCTCCTCTGGTCTTCATTCTCTGGTGAGAGCAAGATGCCCACTGGCAGCTCCAGACTTACCTCCTCCCCGCTTTACCAGTTCCTGAGAGATGCATAAAGTCCAGGGGGCTCGATGACTGGCTGAGGTTTGGCCTGACTCGGAACCAGTCCTGTTGCTGGAGGCACAAATTGCCATGTGCCTTCTCCTACACGCTGGTGCCAAGTCCATTTGAGCCTCGGGGAACAAGTAGGGTGGGCTCCCTTAAGGAAGTGGTGATGTTGCTATTAAGTGTCATCATCGAGTCAGTACTGACACATCACAACCCTGTGTAGTTTCCAAGGAGCTGCTGATGGGTTTGAACCACTGACCATGGGGTTAGCAGTCCAGTGCTTAAACTACAGTGCCACATGAGGACTCAAAGGGATTATTAGTATGCTATTATAGTGAGATCGGACTCTTGGTGTGGCACTGCAGAATAAAACAAGGTCAGTTTGAACCACAAGGTCGACAGTTCAAACCCACCAGCCTCTCCTCAGAAACCCTAAACAAGGTCTCCATGAGTCATAACGGACTTGACGGCACTGAACACAACAACACTGTGGTGCCGTAGCATAGTCACTGGACTGCTAACCACTAGATCGGTGTGGGTGGAGCCCACCAGCCACGTCACAAGAGAAAAAGAAGGCTTTCTGCATTCACGAAGATTTATCATTTCAGAAACCCTATATGGGGTCAGAACCGTCTAAACAATAACAATCTTCGGAAGCTGACAGCTCTAAACAATAACAATCATCGGAAGATGGAAGAATGAATGCTAGACTGGATACATCAACAAAGGACAGCTGTCCACTGCATTCAGCTTCTCTGCTTTGATGGAACTTTCAGAGAGATTGATTTCCCCAGGTTGGGTGAGTGGGTGGGGAAATGGCTCATTTAGATGGTGGTGGTGGATGGTTACCTTGAGTGGATTCTGACCAGGGATCTGGAAGCTGGTGATTATATCTAGGTTGATCCTCTCATACTTGGGGTAAGGATTTGTATTTTTAACCCAGAAGACAACTTCTTTTGTCCTCCTGGATTTGTAGACTGCGAGCTCCTCTGGGGAAGGGCAACCTGCTGCTGGAGGTGGCTTAGGCTAAGTGTTGGCCTGTTCATCATAAGGTCACAAGTTCAAACTGGTTTCATAAACGACTTCTCAGAAAACCCTACACAGGGTCGCTGTGAGTCGGGACCAACTCAATGGTACTTAACAGCAACAACAGTGAACTTTGGACAAGCTCAGAGCTTTAAAAAACAAAAACAAAAAAACGCAGAAAAGACGCTATTATCCCCAGAGATGCTCCATCTGCAGGATGACAGTCTACGAACTGTTGTCTCAGTTGTTAAATAGAAATTTGCTACTCTAACCTCTGCCCTGTGAACATTTCCAAAAGCGCAGTCACCCAAGGCCCTTACCACCCTGCTCTCTGCTAAGTACTGTTGAGTTGGCTCTGACTCATAACCACCCTGTATAAGGTCTCCGAGGAGTAACTGGTGGATTTGAACTGCTGACCTTGTGGTTAGCAGTCCAGTGCTTATCCTATAGCGCCACAACAGGACTCCGCTACACCCTCTAGCTTCTACCTAATTTGTCCCCTTCTCTTCTCACAGTTTGTTCCCCAAACTTCCATCTACTTCTCTTCCTCACTTCCCAATTACTCCTCGTCCAGTCTCTTCTCCCCATCCCCGCTGTTGAAACTATGCTTGCCCCCGTCACCACCCCCAAAGCAAACACAGTGCCGTGGAGTTGATTCTGACACAGAGCAGAGCTGCCCCAGAGCGTTGCTGCAGATGCAAATCTTCGCGGAGGCAGACTGCCATATCTTTCTGCTCCGAGCGGCTGGTGGCTTTGAATTGCCGGCCTTTCAGTTAGTAGGTGGGGACTGACCACTGCGACACCAGGCCTCCTCAGCTTACCAGTGACCGACATTTCTCCAGGTCTTGGATGTTTTTCAGCCCTTATCTTACGAGCTTCTTGGTTGTATCCTTGATACGATGGAGCATCCCCTTGTGGTCCCCGGACGCTCCCAGGACAGCTCACTCCTCCTGGTTCTGTCTCTCACTCGGTTTCTTCCCTGCTGCTTTGATTCCAGTTCCTTCATCTGTTTGCCTTTCTAGTATTGCCACACTGCACACTCCTTCAGTCTGCCCTATTCCGGTTCTCAGACACACTGGCCCAGACTTCACCCCTGAGTTTCACATCAGATGTTACACCGGGGTGTGCCATGGGGATGTCATACAAAGTGGGCTTCCTTCTGGTACTCTCCATCCCTGGGATGGGCATGGTGGTGGCACCCAGGGATCCGAACTAGAGCCACAGAAGAACCCCTTGCCTCCTTATCCCTCCAAATGTAGTACAGCATCAGTCTGCATGGTTTTGCCCCTAAGTGCCTTTGGACTCCATTTTTCCTGTCTCCACCCTCATTGCCGCTCCCTAATTCTGGCCACCTTTCTTCTCTTGGTCCTCTGCCCAGCCACGGCATCCAGGATGAGCTCCATTAGTCATCTTGTCGCTCCTCAGCATTTTCCAGAGACTTCCTGGTCAGCATGTCACAATCCCACTTTGCTTTAGCCCCTCCTGCCCTTAGCTTGAAACCTGGGCATGCCAGGCGCTCCCTGGTTGCTCTCCTTTCTCTATGCCTAGCATTCTCTTTCCTCTCCTTGCACCTGCCAACACCTTCACGTTCTTTAGACTGTAGCTCAGGCAGTCCTCTCTCGTAGGGAGCCTGCCTTGACTCTCAGGTTGACTTCAAAAACAACACTAAACCAAACCTTTTTGTGTAGGTGATTCTGATTCAGCGGCCACCCCACGTGCAGACTGCGGAGCAGAGCCTCATTCCATAGCGTTTTCAAGGCTACAACCTCTGGGAAACCGATCTCCAGGCCGATTTCCAGGCACCTCTAGGTGGGTTCGAACCACCAATCTTTCAGTTAATAGTAGTCCAGCGCTTAAAGTGCCATTTGCACACACCTCCCTCCCTGCCCCAGGGACTTGGACAAATGGGTCCAGGACTCCCTGAATATAGCCCACGAGCACTGGAGATGCTTGTCTTTGCTGTGGTCCTGATTTGTCATGTGTCCACGTGTGTTAAACTGCATCAAGTTGTCCACTGTCAGGATGTGCACTTGACTGCGTGCCACTCACCTGTGCAGATCCTTGTCACCTCGCTCAGCAGGCAGGTCACTTTATCACCATTTACACGACCACTCATTGCTCCTCACCAGATTGTGGGGAGGGAGGACCTTGGAGACCTCTTAGGAGCCTGGGTCCTAAAGTAAGTGCTCAAGAAGGATTTGTCGATCGATACACCTAAGCCTTGATCTCAGTCCATGAGCTATTGTTGTTGTTGTTAAGTGCCATCGAGTCGTTTCCGACTCATAGCGACCCTGTACAGGGTTTCTGAGGCTGTAAATCTTTACGGGAGTAGAAAGCCTCATCTTTCTCCCGCAGAACAGCTGGTAGTTTCAAACAGCCAACCTTAAGGTTAGCAGCCCAATTCGTAACCACTACGCTACCAGAGCTGTTACAGCTTTTTAAAGTCTTTTTGTTTGGGTTTGGTTTTAGCTTTTTGGCAACGTTTTAACATTTAATCAGCATAACATGGGGATTTTTTTTTTTTTTGAACATTCGTTGTTATTAAGTTCCGTGGAGTCGGTTCTGACTCATAGTGACCCTGCACAGGGTTTCCGAGGCTGTAAATCTTGACGGGAGCAGAAAGCCTCATCTTTCTCCCGCAGAACAGCTGGTAGTTTCAAACAGCCAACCTTGAGGTTAGCAGCCCAATTCGTAACCACTACGCTACCAGACAGAGCTCCTTTTAAAAAAACATTTGAGATCAGCTATTTACTTAGCACCAGGAATCGTGTGGTGCTATAGATAACCACTGGATTACTAATCAAAAGGTCGACAGTTCAAACCCACCAGCTGTTCCTCAGATGCTCTATACAGGGTCCCTGTGTGTTGGAACGGACTTAATAGGACTTAACAACAACAGCATAGATCACTCTGAGTTATAATCACCTCGACTGCCAATGGTTTATTTTGGGTAATAATTTAAAGACCTTTTCCCCTAGACACCATGCCTCAGGAAGAGTAGATCTCTCCCCTGTTTCATGATGGAGGACTCCGGAAAGACGACGTTCAGCTCCGAGGAGGAAGAAGCCAACTACTGGAAAGACCTGGCTAGGACCTACAAACAGAGGTCAGTCCTCCAAAGCCCACCTTGCTTTTTCTTCACTTAAACAGCCGTTTAAGTCAAACAGTGTGCAGAACTCAACACACGTGATCTCAGTTCATCTCACAGCACCCCATGACGAAACTGTTCTCACCCCATTTCACAGATGAGGAAACTGTGTTCAAAACCATAGCCAGTTAGTGCCAGAGCTGGAATTTGAACTCAAAAGCCTGTGTTCCTAACCATGACGATACTATGCTATCTCCCATCTTATTTTCTGGTAAGGTTTGTCAGTTCCCAGATTTCCCGTCTGGTCAGTCTTAGTGTAGGGGGAAAAGAACGTTTCCCTGTGCCTAGCAAAATACGCTGTTGATATATAGCTGCAGCCAGTGTTTCAGTACTCTCTGTTCTCTCCTTCTGTTACAATAGAAATCCACAATGGATGGCTTTAACAAACAGAAATGGAGCCTCTCACAGTGCAGGAGGTTAGAAGACCAGCACTAGGGAAAGGCTTTCTCTGTCAGCTCTCCTTTCAACATCTGTGTGGAAGGCGATTCTTGTTAACTCCATGTATCTTGGCATCAATTGTTCCCAGGTTCTCAGTGCAGGGACGGACCCTGGGTCCAAAGGATGTGCTGTTCTCTTGGCTCTTCTTTCTTGGTGGTTCAGATGTCTCTCTTCTCTGCTCACTCTCCTTTTATCTATTCACTCTCTCGCCTTGTAAGATAAAAGGTGATGCGGGCCAGACCCCAGGAAAACTCTCCTTACCATGGGTCAGGGCTGAGTAAAGGTGTTGGATCCCATCCTTGCCTCTTAAACAACTGATTGCCTGGTCACATCAGATTGCATCATGGGGGATGATTACATCATTATGTAACTGACAGACCCTGATCCTGTGACCTAGCCAGGTTGACATGTAGTCTGTGTCATTTGTTCTGTGACAAGGTACCCTTTTGGGAATAGTGACTGTGTGTGTGTTCAGCATTGTTTCTTTTGGTTTCTCTTGACACTCAAAATCTCTGTTGTTGTGAAATGTTGTCAAGTTGATTCCGACCCTTAGCAACCTTGTATAGGGTTTCTGAGGAGCAGCTGGTGAGCTTGTACCACCAACCTTGCAGTCCAAATGGCTTTGTACTCTGGTGCATTAACCCACAGCGCCACACCAGAACTACTCAAAATCTCCATAGAGAAGTCTTATTTCAGTCCTTCTAATTTCTTACTGTTTAGTTTGACTTAAAAGTGACCCTTGGATTTGTTTCCAGAAAAAATAAGTTATTTTTATTTTAAAAATAAAGTAAAAATAGATGAATAGATTGTTGTGTATTTATACAGTTAATTTCTGTACAGCAATCAAAATGAATTCAGTAGTCAACCTGAATCTCAGAAACATTGAGTGAAAGAAACCAGATTGACAAGAATGTGCAGTATGATGACAGTGATTTAAGTTGTAAAGAAAGCCAAATTCAGCTGCCCCTTCTCCTCACTTTGTTCCCGACTTATCTGACGCTTGTCATTTACACCAATAGTAAAATAGCTGTTATTTGTCTAGTTTGTGAATTAGCGACATACATCTGGCAGAAAGAATGCTGAGGTGTGAGGCGAGAGTAACCCTTGCTGTGATGGTTAAGGTTATCTCTGAACCACGATTGACCATGATTCTCAGTGATTTGGCAATTAGGTAATGATGGGATTTGGTCTTTATATAATGGTGTAGTCACCCTCCATTCTGTGATCTGATGCATTCATCCTCCATTTTTGCATAATGCTGATTTTTACAAAATGACCTGGTTTTTGGAATCTAACCGTGTTGATAACTGAGGAATGGAATGTCTGCACACAGAGTTAGTAAAACTAAAGAAACAAAGAAGCAAACTGAGGTGGCGATTATATCCAAAGTCATTTTTGGGATATACACTTCAGCTGGGGACAGGTCTTGTAATTAAAAAAAAAATGACTCCAAAAATAATTCTTGGATTTTAGGGATCAAGAAACTAGAAATGGTTTCTATATGCTTACATATTTTTGTCATTTCAAATAAGTGAGGTAATACAGTGTTTATCCTTTTGTGATTAACCTAATGTCTTGGAGATGCATCCAAATAACTGAGGAGTATTCCATTGTGTGTTGGACCACTTTTTGTTTATCCTTTCATCTGTTGATGGTCTTGGAATATTTCCACTGTTTTGCCATTGTGAATACAGCTCCAGTGAACAATGTTGGCCTCACTGATATGCAATGACAAGATTAGGTGGTCACCAGGGGCAGAGGAGGGAAGGAGGGGATTGGTCTGCGGCAGTGAGTCTGGGCCTGTGGTGATGGAAATATAAGCATCAATTAAGGATAGTAGTAGTTGTACAACTTGAGGAATTTGATTGATCATTAAGTTGTACACCAGAAAAAGGGCAAAAATGGTAAATGTGTGTCATAAATAAATTTACAATAGCAACAGCTCCCCCCCCCCAAAAAAAAAAAAATTAGCTTTAGGTATAACTCAGTGGGATTGGTTCTCTTAATTCAAAAGATTCGCGGTATTGGACGGTCCTTTCAGTTGGCCTCACGTCTCAGTGTCTGTCTGGCCCTAATTTAGTTCAGTGAGTAGTGCCATCCAACATACCGAAGGTCTCTGGAGCAGCAGAGGAGAAAGCCTGCGGCCAGGAACAGGAACGGGATTGCAGATCTGACTGCCTACCTAAAGTGCTGTCTCCTTTGTCACGAGACCACAGGCACTGGATGGTGCCATGCTACCAACACTTAACATTTTGATCAAGGACTCGAGGTGACGCCTGATCAAAAGTAGGGGGAGAAAGTAGAACAGGATTTCCAATTCTTAATCAAATCTAGACTTAACAGGATTTCCAATTCTTAATCGAATCTAGACTTAACTGGATTCCTAGAGGCTTCCCTGAATGTTTCCCTGAGAAAATCTGTAAACCTTGAACTGACATTGTGTCCTGAAATCATTTTTAAACAAGTTTGGCTAAATCAGTAAAAACTGTTGCCTTAAACATTGTTCTCCTTTTAAAAAATTATTGATACAAGATCACATTGACCACAGTAAGTTTAAAGCATAGATGAGAAGTTTAAAATAAAAATTCATTGTTGTCAAGTTGATTCTGACTCATAGTGACCTTATAGTACAGGGTAGAATTGCCCAGGGTTTTAAGGCTGTCATCTGTACAGAAACCTAATGCCACATCTTTCTCCCATGCAGCGGCTGGTGGGTTTGAACCACTGACCACTCCACAGTCAAGCACTTTAACCACCATACCAGCAAGGCTGGTTGTTGTTGTTGTTGTTAAGTACAGTAGAGTTGGTTGCAACTCATAGCGATCCCTGCACAGAGTTTCCGAGGCTGTAAATTTTTACAGGAACAGAGTGCCTCGTCTTTCTCCTGCTGAACAGCTGGTACTTTTGAACTGCTGACCTTGTGGTTAGCAGCCCGATTCGTAACCACTACACTAACAGAGCTCCTTAGCAGGGCTGGTTGTTGTTGTTGTTGTTAAGTGCCGTCGAGTCGGTTCCGACCCGTAGCGACCCTGTACAGGGTTTCCGAGGGTGTAAATCTTTACGGGAGTAGAAAGCCTCATCTTTCTCCTGCGGAGCTGCTGGTAGTTTTGAACCGCTGACCTTAAGGTTCGCAGCCCGATTCATAGCCACTACGCTAGCAGGGCTGGTTAGGGGATACCAATTACAAGATGATAGTGGTGAGACAATGTGGGTAGGGGTGGTGAGAATGGTGCACTATGGGAGGAATGTAACCAATGTCATTAGAATGTACATGTTGGAATTGTTGAATGTGTATAGGTTCTGCTGGAGATTTTTTCACACACACACACACACACACACACACACACACACACGCGAAATGAAGAAATGAGAGTTTAGGTTGGGTGGGCCAGATTAGTGTGGTGTCATAAGTGAGCAGTTAGATTATTTCTGATTTCTGGTGATTTCATTATAAATAAGGAGTGCTAAGATAGTGCAAATCATTAATGAGCTTGACTGCTAACCCAAAAGCTTGGAAATTCAAGTCCACCAAGAGGTACCTCAGAAGAAAGTCTTGGTGATCTGATTTTTTTAATTGGCCCTTGAAACCCCCTAGAGAGTGAGTGCAGTTCTGTTGTAATGCACATGGGGTTTGCTGTAAGCTGGAATCAACTTGACAGCGACTGATCTTTTTTTTTTTAACTTATAAATCTGCTGAGGATGCAAAAGCCAAAGTTTGATTGCTGTCGTTTTGGGGGCTCTCCAATAGTCTGTTGAATGAGGGACCGAGTGGTGAGTTGGTTAAGTACGGCCCCGACTCTGCTCCTAACAACTTGTGTGAGCTTTAGACAAGTCCCTCATCTTCTTGTTTAGACCTGATCTGTAAATTGGGGTGATGATCACTTTGACTGCAGAAAGCAGTCTAATGAAAAGACAGTCAACCAGAGAGGCACACTCCACACGCACTCAGTGAGTCAATTCCTGTTTGGGGTTCTGCTGCAGGGCAGAGAATGCTCAAGAAGAACTGCGAGAATTCCAAGAGGGAAGCCGAGAATATGAAGCTGAACTGGAGATGCAGCTGCAACAAATCGAAACCAGAAACAAGGACCTGCTGTCTGAGAACAACCGCCTCCGCATGGAGCTAGACACCATCAAGGTGAGGCGAGGCAAGGCAAGGCGGCCTAAAGGCAGTCAGTGGATGCAGGTGGAGTTGTGGCTGGACCCAGGCGCTCTGTGGAGGGAGGGGTTGTGCTTCCAGGCGTACACCTACATGCAGGCTGGCCTGTGGAGGTGGTGCTTGAGCGCTGTGTGGCTGTGATGGGAGGAGTAAGTCAGATGTGTGTCCTGCTAGGTTGTCTGTCAATCCTACAAGGCATTTTCAGAGTCTGGAATGTCGCTGGAATTACTGATGGGCCAGTCCAGTGCATGTTGTTGATGGTCTACTCTAATTTGTGGTTCCTTGTAATTGGCTGCAGCTTACACTTCTGTGGGGCTTCCATGTGTGGCTTTTTAAATCAGTTAAAATGAAATTAAATCTTAAAATGTAATTTTTAGATTTAATGTAAAAATTAGATCTCTGCAATTTGCACGAGCCGCGTTTTCAGTGCTCAGTAGCCAGATGTGGCTAGTGGGTATTATCATTGAAATGAGGGGCCCTAGACCATTTGTGTTTTACAGAAAGTTCTTTGGACAGTGCTGGTCTGGAGTTGTCTACACCCCTGTGACTGGAGCGTTCCTCACTGTCTTGTGCGTTGTAAGATGTGCAGCGTCCCGGCCTCTACCCACTAATGGCAGTAGCACCCATCCCACTGTGGCAACCACAAATGCTGGCAGACGTGGCCAAGCGTCTGCAGAACGGCTGCTCTCCTGGGGCTCTCTGGGGTTCAGCAGCAGATGACTAGGCAACACTTTGCCCTATGAATCTCAGACGGACCTCTGTCCATCATCATCGTCTCCCCCCACAGACTCAGTGAGACGGGATGGGGCCCTGACCCATAAAGACATCTTGGGGTGACTTAGATGTGCTGTTGTTAAGTGCTGTCAAGACGGTTAAAGAGTTTCTAAGGAGTGGCTGGTGAGTTTGAACAACCGACTTTATGGCTCAAACCAACCTTGCTGGTCCAGTGCTTTATCCCACAGCACCACCCTAGGTTGTGTAACTGAGGCACCAAGCAAAACCCTAGAGTGTGAGCCTGGGGGGAGTGAGAGAAATGCTAAAGGAGTCTGGGGAAGACAGACCTGAGACCTCGTAACAGGAAATGGGGCTCAGTTAGTCTCCACCAATGACTCCTGGAAGGCTTCATGGAAGAGAAGGCAGGGACTGGGATGGATGTGGGGGAGGGTGCAGTATGGTGCATGGGGGTTGAGGAAGACCTCATCTGGGCCAGTGTCAGACACGGTCAGAACAGTGCTGGGTGGAGTGCTGAGTGAGGTTACACTGGGCTGTGGGGGTGACCGGAAGGAGTGGAGAGGGGCGTAGACAAACCTGGAAAGCCCAACAGTGACACTCAGACATGATGTTTTGGACCAGTGTCCACAGACTGGCCATCCACATGCCCTTTGACCCACAGACCTTATTTGGTTTGTCTTTAGTGGATTTTCTTTTCAACATTTCGTTATATTAGAGTCTTCAAACACGTGGCAAAGTTGAGAGAATTTTACAGTGAATGTCTGTCTATCCTCCGTCTCAGCTCCACCATTAATATTTGCCATGCCTGTTTCTATTGTGAGGGTGGTGTAGGACCAGGCAGTGTTCAGTGTTCTGGTGTACATAGGGTCACTGTGGGTTGGAACTGACTCAGTGGCACCTAACAACAACAACATCCGTCAATCCATCTTTTGTTCTTCACCCATTTCAAAAAAACATGGCTGGTGTATGTACAATGTGGGCTGCAAAAGTTTGTGAACGGACTTAAAAGATAATGGGAGTTTTCCATGAACTTTTTGAAGCCCCTCAGGTAGAGCCATCTGTCTAAGTTCCCATAAGTACTTTAGCCTGCCTCTCGCTGACTAGACCTCAGTGATTAGTTTTTCCTTCTGGTAGTAAAATTTATATCTCTAGTTTTTGTTATTGTTGTTGTTTTAGTATTTCATATCTACTTTTAAAAAGTTGTGAGGTTTTCTCCACAAGTCTGCACTACTAACTTCTGTGGAGAATTGGAATTGCAGGCCCTACCACAAGTAAATATCTTCCACAGCATCCAGATGTTGAGCAATGGTTCTTAAACAGCAGGTGACCTCTAGTTTGCCGTAATGTTCCCACTATCCCCTCCCTGACACTGCAGAGACCACTCGTAGCCCCTGGCTGTCCTCATCCCAGAATCTGGCCCCGTGCTGTTAACAGCCTGACCGTGAAATTAACTGCATTAAGCTTGCATTCTAGCACCTTCCAGTATAACCACATGACAGATGCATGCAGTTCGGAGTAAAGAGCAGGCAGGGAGGGAATACCCTGGAATAAGGATGACTTTACCACCAGCGCCTGTTTGTCAGTCACCTAAAAGGAATGTGCTCACTGAGATCAGCGGGCGTGGCAGCTGGCTTACTCATCACCAGTTGAATGAGAAGGCTGTAAAGGATCAAACAGAGAGTCTATTGATGCTTATGTCAGCTGACAGCTTCTTACAATTAGCCCCAAATTGAACGAAACACAACATCTCAGCAACAGCTTTTCGTGTCCACCAGTTGAAAGGGGACTCTTGGGGTCTATGAGCAGCCCAACAAGCCTGTTCATGGTGTTTAAATGTAGATCAGTGGTCTCGAAGCATGCATGCACTCTGTTTTATGTGCAGATGCCCCCAAATCATGAGTGAGCAGTGATCACAACCATGCCTGAAAACTGGCTGTGCATCCAGCTTGTCTGGGCAGACGTCCTACCCACAGCTTGGAAACTGAGCCACCCGCAGGGACTGCGCAGCTTGGGAGTGGGGGGCGCCCTCCTGGCCTCACCCTCTCAATAATCTACTTGTTCTTGGGCATTGTTCTTTCACAGTGACCCTCACCAGGCCTCTGGCCTAGCCACCATGACATCACCCCAGCGCATCAAGGTTGTTTGTAGCAACCATTCCTTAAAGAGGAGGTTCCCTATTTTTTTCCTTTTAACTTTTCCAAATTAAACTCTCAGCCTTCCCTGTGAGAAGTGAGTTTTTTCTTTCATTATTTGTAGAATCTAGGAAAGGTGTTTGAGGAAGAAAAATAATTTGAAAGAAGAGCAGGCGCAGAGTTGGACATGTTGTCAAGAGGGTTCGGTGTCTGGAGAAGGACATTACGTTTGGTAAAGTGGAGGAATTCCCACAGTGAGGTGGAATGACCCAGGGGCAACAGCAGTGGACTCAAGCTTAACGATTGTGAGGCTGGAGCAGGATTGGCTGTGTCTCCTCTTTTGAACAAGGTTCGCTATGAGTTAGAACCAACTTGATGGCACTTAACAACAAAAAACGTGTGTGTTTGTTTTTAATACCCATATTGCCTGAACAGAAATGGTTTGAAGGCACTTTCACATCATTGTTGAAGATCATGGGCTCAGGTGGCCTGAGTGAGATCTTAACATAGTCATTTCTGGTAGTTGACTTTGGGCTAATTAGGAACAGCCTTGATGTCCACGTCTTGAATTGGGATTCATTGACATCATAGATGTAGTACTTGTGTCTCAGAGGCTGGCACAGAGTGATTATTATAGAACAAGAATCGCCTGTTCAGCTGTATACTCAGAGTCAGTCTACCTGGGGTTGGAAAAGCAAGTTCTCAGCAGGGACTTGAACCCGATCGAGCCAGTGGGAAGCCCTACATAAATGTTAGCTGCAGCAGTTGGACGACTACAAATTACAGTTGACCCTTCAACACAGGTGTGAATTGCACTGGTCCACTTATACTTGTATTATTTTCAATAAGTATATTCGAACTTTTTTTGAGATGTGTGGCAATTTGAAAAAACGTACAGGTGAACCGCATAAACTAGAAATAAGAAAAAGAAAATGAAGAAGAAGGTGTGTCATGCCCAAAGTATGTAGAGAGAGCACTGTTTTAATATTTGTCATCATAAAATGTACACAAATGTAGGATTATAAGTTAAAATGGACATGCATAAATCCTTTAAGGCCTTATGTATCACCAGCCGGCAAAGCAAAGCTGCAGTATTAAATCCTCATTGCATGAAATTAACCAGTACATACTTCACTGTGGTAATAATTTCATAGCTGCCACCTGTTCCTGGCACGGAGACATAGGTGTTTTCGAGTATCTGCTGAAAGCACTAGGTGATGCTGCTCTTCTCTCCAGCTAATTGCATATTGAAGTGAAAAGTGATCTCTCGCGAGTCTCAGATTTTTCATCATGTTTTCTGCAATGCCAGAAGCTTTGATACCCACATCATGCCACCAGTGATGCTGGAAGTGCTCTCAGGAAGCAGGGAAGAGTCATATCATTCTCAGAAAAGGTTGCATTCCTTGATATGTAATGTAAATTGAGGTGTGCAGCTACATACAGTTGCTCTCCATTTCAAGATAAAGGAGCCCAGCGGAAGGAACATTGTGGGAGGAAAACAGACGAAGTGGTCGCTCAGCTATGCCAGCAGGCAGAAAAACTTTGCATTTTTTGTGAAATGCCTTTTGTTTCATATTGATATGTGAGTGCAGAATTACTGTAAGAAAGACTCTAATAGGACTTGAGAAACAACCAAGCCCTTCTGTGCCAACTTTAAGACAAAAGTACAGTAAGGTGACAGATGTAAAGCTGGAGGATTTAATGCCAGCAAAGGATGGTCTCATAATTCAAGTCAGAGGGTTGGCTTTAAAAATGAGAAGATCACAGGAGAAGCAACTTCTGCCGACCAAGAGTTCCCCATACCAGTGAGATAATCTCTACGGAAAAAGGATATCTGCCTGAACAGGTTTTTATTGTAGATGAGAGTGCCCTGTTTATGAGGGGGAAACGCCACAAGGACATTTATTAGTAAAGAAGAGAAATGAACACCAGGATTTAAGGCTGGAAAAGATAGGCTAAGTCTTTGTTTTGTTTTTTTAAGTTTTTATTGTAAACTGAGTGATAGTTTGCAGGGGAGAACATCAGCTTCACACCATCGTTTCATTGCAATGATTACAATCTCTGTGCATCATCATTCAACAATATTTTCTTCCATTCCTTGTTTTTTTTGGAGGGGTGGAGGGAGATGTACACAGAAACACTCAGGAATATATAATCATTTCAACAACCAAAGGGCACATTTTGCAAGTCAGCCTCCTGGCCGCCAGTACCCGCCCTCTCTCTCCATGACTCCAGAGTCCTCAGCTGCTCCCTCTCTCCATGTCCCCATCTCTGCCTCCATCTCGGGTGTCAGTGCTTCTCTGGATAGGGTCCTACACTTTGTGCTCCTCTCTCTTGAGGGTCCTTTGTTCCTTCCTGGACTGTAAGATTAATGACTCCCCCAGTTTTGGTTACAAAACGTCTGTCTACCTTTACAATTGTGACAGTCGCAATTAGTCGTAACAATTACTATTGAATCATAAGAATCTTATCCCCATCTCTTTTCACCAGACCCATCTAGACAAGATGAAAACTATTCAGTTGGGGACTCTAACTTCCCCCGCACACTTAAGCTAAGCTCCCTCTTGAAACCGTAAGCCAGTCACTTCGTGCCTTTTTTGTCCCTCATTTTAGGTAGCCAATGCCTAAGTTTTCCATCCCTATCTACCCTGTATAGAGAGGGGATAGGATTGATACTTGATGTGAAAACTCCTTCCCTGTCAGTTGGTATTTTGAGTTACTACATCCATAAATATAGGTCAGGTTCATAAAATTACAGCCGTTTACACTTGTTTTCTTTATAAAAAAGTGTTTGTTTTTAATCTTCCTCTAGTTGAGTTTTGATTATCAGGCCATTGAGGCTAGGTCAGATGGGTACCATCTGCAAGTTTGGGCATTCTTGTGCGTCTCTCCTCACTTCATATTAGCTGGAAGGATAGGCTAATTCTTAATGCAGATATTGTTGGGTTTATGATTTGGACTGCCCTTATTTATAAAGCTGTTAAACACCCCACCCAAGCTTTGAAGGGAAAAGATAAACACTGGCTCTTTTTGACTACAGTGCAGACCCTTTTGTGATTCGAGTACTAAAACAGAAGCAAACAGTGAAAGGAGGATGGTAGTGTGTAGAAACATTTTTAGAAAAATGAAAAAGCAAAGAAGACAAATTAATGCTGCATTTTCATAAACTCACACCAAGTTTGGCTGCCTCCACAACCATTTCCCCTGCTTCTGCCATAGGAGACAGGAAGACCACCCGTCCTCTTCCTCCTCACAGTGAACATGACTCACGTGTCAACACACAGCGTACGGCTTTGAGAAACTCAGCAGACTTCTGTAAATGCAATTTTCTGTGTTAGGATTTTCTCAGTAATATTTTCTTTAACTTTATTTGGAGAATACAGTCTGCAACACACATGTGAAATGTGTTGATTGGCTTTTGATGCAATTAGTAAGGCTTTTCCGGTCAACAGGCTAATAGTAGTGGTGTCTTTGGGGAGTCAGAAGTTACATGTGAATTTTTGACTGCATGGGGATTTGATGTCCTTAACCCCAGTGTTGTTCAAAGGTCAGTTGTACTGAAAAGCTATATGATGTGTATATATACTGAGAAGCCAGCTGGACTGTTGTGGGCCTTTGGAAAGCACTCTCCAAATTACACTGAGCTTGCTTGCTTTGCTTTGGTAATAGATTTCTTCCCTCCTCCCCACCCCCTTTTTTTTTTTTTAAAAAGTAACCCAGAGGTCAACAAGTTCCTTACACTCTCCGGTGTTGTAGGGGAGGTTCCTGAATCAAAAAGTCGGAACAGCTGTCAAATTCAGTATGTGAGGCCCACACAACCTGAGTCTTTGTAGTTCTGTGGCCCTCGTGGAGGGGTCTGGAGAGGTGTCCTGGTCTGTGGCATCTTTGGCTGGGTTCTAGTGCCGGTGTCAGTAACAAACCCTGGACGCCTCATGCAAATAGGATCTTCGTGAAGGCGGTTGGGTGCTTCCTGAATCCTCCAGAGGCCGCACGACCAGTTGCGGGAATGGTCAGGAAGGAAGCTTGCCGGACACTTAGTTAATCAGGACACAACTTCAAATGTCCCCCACCTGTGCCTTCATCTTTCTGCCACTCACTCAAGATTCCAAGTCCCAGACGAGAAGTTCTGCTGCCTGAACTTCGCCTTGCCTCCTAAAAGTTTTGGTTCTCCTCAGTGCAGTGCTGATCTTGGAGGTGGTGGGGTGGGCAGGAGCACAAGATGCTCAGTGGCTAAAACTGACAGTTGCTCACTATGGCAGTAGGCAGGAGGGACCTGAGTGTCTGTAAGGCGATAGTGAGAAAGAGACACGATTCCTCCAAGGCTGACCTCATTCACCCTGTCCCGTTTGCCCTTTAGGAGAAGTTTGAAATGCAGCATTCTGAAGGTTACCGGCAGATCTCGGCCTTGGAGGATGACCTTGCCCAGACAAAAGCAATTAAAGACCAATTGCAGAAATACATCCGAGAGCTGGAGCAAGCCAATGATGACTTGGAGAGAGCAAAAAGGTACGTCAGGAAAGAGAAAACTGGTTTGGGGGTTCCTTGTTTTGTTTTGTTTTCATCTCTTGCTGCCTCCCTCCCCCCCTCTCAATTCTATGAATTTTGTTGTTTTTGAGGATAAACACAGCCAAGCAAATAGGCAAATTCATTGAGTGTGGCGACGTGTTTTCAAGCTGTGCCCCCAATCTCACCTGTTCTGAGTTGTTCCTCCCACATTAGCATCCACCCATTGCCCTCTGAGGGTTCTGTCCAGTCTTCGCAGTGGCTGTTGTCAGTTTGCTCCCCTATGGAGAGTTCTTAAAAGAGCACAGCGCCGAAAACAGACCTTTTTTACTAGTTCAGCAAAACTGTTGTTTGGTTTAAGAAGACTTCAGGAGATTTTTTTCTTTTTTTTTTTTTTCCCTCTGTTTCAAAGTTTTAAAGATTATTTCCAGGTAATAGTTTCGGGGTGGTTTTAGAGCATTTTGTGTCTACTTTTGCTCCGGAGACCAGGCATCTATGTTAAATGTAGAGCGCCCAGGAGTCAGTGCACAGACCCATGCCTGGGAGAAGTGGTCAGCAGAGAGTACAAAGGAATGGTAGCAGTAAGTGCGACCAGTCCAAGGTGTTCTGCTGCTGTGGGTGGAAAGACGTCAGGCCAGACTTCCCGGAGGAGATGGCAGCTAGACTGAGGCCAGAGCACTTGAGAAAGAAGCAAGAGGAGCATGTGGTACAGGAGGGAGGAAAGAAAGACACATCTGCACCATCAGCATTTCTTAGCCTGCTGCTCCGTGCTGTGACGGAATACTAATAAACCCAAACCAAGTCACTGTCAATCAAGTCAATTCCATCCCCTAGTGACACCCTGTGGGACTGAGTAGAATTGCCCCTTTGGATTTCTGAGACTGTAAATCTCTTCGGGAGTAGTTAGTCTCATCTTTCTCACGTGGAGCAGCTGGTGGGTTTGAACTGCTGACCTTGTGGTTAACAGACCAATGTGTAACCCACTAAACCATCAGAAACAGTATATGGTTTGTTTTTTTAAGTGCTTAGCTGAGAGTAATTATTCAATAGTAACAACAGCTAACATTTATTGAATAATTTACTGTGAGCCAGGCACTTAAAAAAAACAACATACATGTTATTTTCTTTAGATATAATATGCATAGTGAAATGCACAAATGTTGTGCCTGCAGTTCCATGAACTTGAGAACCACACACATTCGTGTATCCTATGTTTGTGTTAAGATGTGGAACATTTTTATTGCCTGGAGTTCCTTGCAGTGTTTGAGTGGTTACTTTAAGGCTTATATTATATAGTCATTCCTCACTCTATGAATTCCCCTGCTCCCTATGGTGTGTTTGTAACTCCAGAACCAGACTTGTGCTAATTACACATTCATCCCCAACCTACACAGAAGCGATGGAAAAAACGGTCGCTCAACACACACATTCCCAGCTGAGGTCAAACAAGGCCACACTCTGCCTTCTTGTTGCAGTTAATTTGGTGTTATACTTTTCTCATTTCTGTGCTTTTTGTTGGTGATTTCTCTATTTAACATGGCCCTCAAACATAGTGTTGAAATACTGTTTGTTGTTGCTAAGTGCCGTGGTGTCGGTTTCCACTCCTAGCTACCCTGTATTGAATTTCCAAGGACTGGCTTGTGAGTTTCAACTGCTGACTTTGCCATTCAGCAGTGCCGCACATTATATCCTGCAGCACCACACCAGAACTCCCAAGTGCTGTTGAGTGTTCATATCAAAATGGTGTTGTGGCAGCAGCTTCTGAACCATCCCAGGGAGAGAGAATCACCATCATCATCTGTCCACTGCTGACTCCTCTGATAGGAGATTGAAATGTACCTCCTTTCTCCAACCTTTTTTTTTTTTTTAGCAGTTCTGATGCCAGCCACCCCTCCCACAGCCCACAGCTGGGCTCATTAATCCGTTGCAGCTGTTCTGCCACCGCCAATTCTTTTTTTTTAAACCACTCATCTTTATTGATAAAGTACACTCCTGTGCAGTCTTTACTCCCAGACATAATTAGAACCTTCTGTGTAAAATAAAAGGTAAGGGATAGAAACTGTCACTACATAACAAAGTAAATGCCTTTAAATTAAACACCAAGACCTTAAAAATTATATCCAAGCTAGAAAACCAAGACTAAATCAACCCTAGTTTTTTACTACAAAATTAATTATTAAGCAATGCTTTATAATAGAGCTTCCTCAATGAATTGCCTCAAATTTAAACTCAACTGTGTGACTTATTTCTTACTTGGGATAAAAACTATTTGAATTAATTTTGCCATCAAATTAAGGGATATTTTCCCCAAAAGCCATAAGAAAAGTTTAAAAACTCTCAATTATTTATAAAATATCAAATAAAGACCTTTGAGTTAGAAACAAAATATATTTACTGTTTGGACCATTAGCCAGTTTCTTTTACCTAAAGGTCTCTTTTACCTAAAACTTAAGATAGAATAATTCTGAAGTGAAAAGTAGCTTTGAATATTAGCAATATATTAAATTATACATAAATTAGATGAAGGAATACTTTAAAATATACATTAAAAGGTAGAATTTTTTATCTGCTAATTTAGTATTTAATATAACTATGTTAAAGCTTATTTGACATATTTTATAATCACAAAATAAGAAAACTTTAGGTTTCAATTGATAATAAACACATTTCTGTATTTGGTTGCCTTTTAAGTTTTTTTATGTACTAGATATTTGATAATTCATAAAATCACAAAATATACTTCTAAGTCCATAGATTTTCACCCCCTTTTGACTAAAGTTTGTGTGAGACCAAATAGTTTCTTGAAATTAAAGTTAACTTTTCACTGCTTATATTAGAAAGCAATTATTTAACGAACAGTAAAGGCCAGGGGAATTCCCAGTATTTTGAAATTACTATAGTTCGTGTGTTACATATCACACACTTCCACTGCTGGCTAAATGAGCTGCGTAACACTCTTCAAGATCAACCAAAGAAGAGAAAAATCTCATCTTCACTAATGACTTAGAACCATAACTTCCTTTCAAAGAAGTAGTTTAACCTACTAAGTATGTCTCTCAAAAAATCTGTCTTAGAAAGTAATACTCCTTCACTTTATTTCCTGAAATACTTCATATACTTAGTAAGTTATAAAAAATTGTTAGCCAAGTATCAATTAGGGTAAATTATCTAAAAGTAAATCACCTGTTTGTTTATGCTGAGTACAAAACATTCTTAAAGTCTTTAAAGCCCTTTTGACAAAAATTTCAATTAATGGGAAGGTAGACATGTAGTCACTAAAGCTGAAATCTTAGCTAGTTCATAAGCCATTTGTTAACTGAGACACCAAACAGGAAGGATAAACCTTAATATGAGGAACTTCATTCACATAGCCATGGCATAATTTGTATTTTAAAAATGGGATAATTCTATTAATCCCTAAACACTAACTAGAAATATTCAGATTTACCAAAATATCATCCGGAACTAGCCAAGAGTACTGCTGATAGCTCTCTCTATATTCAGCAGTTACTGTGAAACCCTTCATCTGTTCACCAATTAGAAACGGCTTAATGTCTGCCTTTCCATTATGTCTTGGAATTAAGTCAATGACCATTTAAATAATGTATTTTTGTTGTTGTTGTTATCCCTTAAACATGTTATTACCAGTATATACTATACATAGTATGTGTATAGATACATATAATATATAAAAACTTGATTGAGATTGATTTTTCTGTTATTCAATCATACATTTAGTAGGCCAGTCCCAGTGACTGTTTGGAGCCAATCCAAGAAACTCACATGCTTAGAAGCTCTTCAGCTCTTCCTTTGACTCAGGTCACTGTTGGTCACTAATGCTGACAGAGACATACTTTCTGATGTATCATCTTTCCTAAGGCTCAAAAATGATTCTCGGGTTATTTGAAGGATTTCTCTCAAACCTTTGTTTTCTTGTTCCTTGCAACCCTGTTGCTCATCAGTTGCAATGACTTTCCTCCTTACTGCTGCCATTTCAGGTATTTGGTCAACATGTGCTTGTAATTCATTCTGATTTGCTTCCAAGTGCCTCCTGTCCAGTCCATGCTGTGCTTCAAGGATGGGTCGAGATGTATCAAGGAAGAATCCTTCGGAGATATTAGGATGTACCATGCCAGTCTTGGAGTGCTGCTCTTTTAGCTTATTTTACCTGGATCGTCTTTTTTGCTTGCCAATAGTAGTCTAAACATTTGTTCTCAATATTTGCTCATTATAAGTTCCAAAGCAGACTGATGTTCTCCAGGGATGTATGTAATTCTTTGTTCTCTTGTAATTCTCTGATTTGTCTGTTTTCTTGCTGGATTCCCATAACTAATGTGGACCGTGGCTGGTGCCTTGCAACTTCATCAGGTTCTTGAATTTCTTCCTGCTTCTGCTTGCTGATTGAGAGCTGTGGTTTGTTCAGTGAGAGATTCTGTAGCATCATCACCATCATCTCTCAGTCTTTCAGCAAGAGCTCTGGCATCAGCAAGTGGCTTCTCAACTGTGCAACTCATTTCTAATGGAGTACCTGTGCAACTTCTCCAACAAGCAGACGCAGAATCGGATAGAGTTAGCAGAGAGTTAGTGGCAGAGGGGGACAAGGAGAACCCCATCATTATTGACCCCAGAAAACTTCCGCTGACTGCTTCTGATAAGCGCTCCATGAGTGCCTCAACATCACCCCACCTCCAGTTCTTACCATGACACACTAATGTCCCGTGTTACAGCGTCTCTGTCTCCTGGGTCTAGGAGGTTCTCAGCACAGGGACCCTGCTCCTTTCTTTTTGTAGTGATAGTGACGTCCTTCCCACCTTGCTCTGGGATTGGCTTCCTTTTAAGCCTAGCAGGATGGCAGAACTGACCAATCTCTTGATTAGGGCTTTATACACTTTATTTGTATGTGGCACTGTAGGATAAGCACTGGACTGCTAAGCATCAGATTGGCAGTTCAGACTTACCAGCTGCTCCTCGAAACCCTGTACAGGATCTTTTGAGTTGGCACT